TGTGCCCTATCAATATACGAAGTACAAATAATTGTCATTAAAATTATTATACAATATAACAAATAAAAAATGTTCCTTGACACATTTTAAATTTTGAATTTATATTCTATACATCACTGTATACTCAAAAATATTAAAAGAAAGCAAATTACTAAAGATGAAATAAAAGTCATTCTGGTGTGAACCAACTTGGTTCCTAATAGCTATTATCATAGAAAATCCAAGTAATTATTTAATGGTCATAAAGTGTAATATTATATAAACAAGTTAAAATTTTAATTTAATTGAGCTTATAGAAAATTGATTTATCAACAATAATTTGTATATCAATTCATGTATTTTATGAAAAGAAAATTATATTGATGATACTAAGCTAGCTTTTTACAATTTAGGAAATAAAAGAAATTACCTCGGTAACATAGCTCCTGTTACTTTATTCCGTAAAAAGGTGTGAGCATATTGTGGTAACTCTACACAAATAGCCAACCACTCTGTAGTCTGCTCAACAGTCCAATTGTGAACTTCAGAACGTAACCATGCTTCCCAAAGCTCCTTAACGGAAATATGAGTGTCATCATTACGATGGAATGCCTTTTGCCTTCTTTCATATCCAGAATCATACTGCAACTCCTCTCGTAGAAACTACCAAGAGTTTTTCATGAGTGGTAGAAGTAATTTTTATTTATGTACTGACAATAAAATTTACTACTTACATCGTTTGTTTCGGAAAGATCAACATTACCATTTGCATCATCATCTAATTGTCTATGCAAAGCTGTTATTGCTTCTAGTCCCAGTTTATCATTTGCCTGTCCTGTTGAAAGGCACGAAATATCATCATTAACACAACTTTCAGGTGAATCTGGAATAAACAAAATGTTCTACTTCTGAAGTATGTTAAAATTATTTTTCATTAACAAACCATCATCTTTGACAGCTTGAGATATTGATTCACTTAATAAGGAATAAGTACTCTTTATATTTTCCTTGCTATTTTTATTAAGTACATTTTCAGGACGTATGTTAAGTTGCATTTGGTCACTGGCTCTTCCATTGCACCAACAAACAATAAAAAATAACCAAAACACGACTTTTTTCGAACTCATCTTTAAACTTAATCACAAATAACGAGAAGATAAAAACAAACTTTTAAATTACTTAGGAGATTCTTTTGAAGTCTTTGATTTTAATTTTTTTACTTGACATTTCACTATTTCACAGCCACAGAATCAGATGTTGCTGAAGATATTTTTCAAGTACTTGACTTTAGTTTTCAAGGTTGACACAGTTGACAACTAGAAATACTGTAACGACAAAATTTTTGATCGTATTTGGCATACATAGCCGTATAATATACTCTCATACATAAATTTGTATCGGTATTTCGCAATGATTGTCTCCGAATAAATCCGGGCAATGCGACTCTAATAAATTAACACGAGACGTCACAAATTTAGCATCCTATGTCCTATGGGCATAGGTGCCTACATAACGCAGAGCTGCGACTGCACAAAAATCGCTAAATAAAATTATTTAACTTACTAATACGAATATTTTACTGTGGAACAATTCCGCTTTTATAGCACCGTAATAAGCTTATATGCCGCTTTTATTATTTAACCTTATCTGTTGTCTTTTAATACATTGTTTGAATTTTATATGTACAGTGGGTTCCATAAGCAATGCACATATTGATACAAGACCAGACCACGAGAACGAGCTATACTTATGTTAAATCTGTTTCAAAAATCATCTTCTTGCAAGCTCTACTGATCTACGAGCAGATATCAAACATCAAAAGATAAAGATATAAATCCTTGATCCATTTCATTAATTTAGCATAGCACAGATGTAACACATTGCTTCCGCCATTTTAAATTAATGTCACATTTTATTTTGAATCCAGGGTACTGTAGATAACTAATTTGTTCATTAATCAGTTGCAATTTTCCGAATTTTTATGAAGGAAATAGTTTTTGTTGTGTCACGTTCCAGCTGATTAGTGTATCAGTAATAAGTTCACTATACGAGGACCAACTAAAAAGTAATTAAACTTATTTATTATTCACAATACAATGAAATAAAAAGAAATATGTAGTTTAATACGGCTTAGTTTTTTTGCATATTTGTAAACGAAAATGAAGAAAAAAGTTAATGAAAAGATTGAAAGAAAAAACAAAGCCAAACAAATGTGATGGTAATAAACTCGATTTAAAAAAACAATGACCAAAATACATTTCTTATTTACATTATTAGGTACTATCGATATCATTCAGCATTTTTTTTTTCAATCTTT